TACAAATTTTAAATCATTACTGGGTTTACCCTCAAGTTCTTCATAAGCCAAGATAAATAAGCTGGTGTCAGACTTAACTTAGACTTAATACGGTTCTGACAAGAAAAGGCATGGCCACATAGAACCTGCCGGGGAGGAGATCTTGCAAATAACTAATCGATCCATGGCTTCTAGAAAAGTGATTTTTTTTCTCCCGTAGTCATTTGTGTTATATAATTAAATAGTTCATTGTTTCGATTAATATTGTCACCAGAAAACAATACAGCCAAAATATGTACATACTAGTACTAGTACCAGATTCTGCAGTAAATTCGCCTCTGGGCAGTTTGGGTTTTTAATAAAAATAAAATGGGACCAAGAAATCGGCGATTTTTCGGCAGATTTTATTTAATATTTGTTATTTAAATATTTTGGCGTAATTTTTCGGACATTACAATCTCCTGACGCCTAAAATAGATTTTTGATTCAAGAGTATGTTTTTCAGGAGTACCAATGAAAGTGTAGCGTTTTAATGAAAATCACAGCTTTGACACCGTGCAGCATAGCTTGGTCAGGAAAAGCTTAACTGCAGGAATGAAATCCGCTAGTTTTGACATCGAGAACTCAAGCTTTGAACATATTTTGATGTTGAGGGCGTACACAACCTCAAAAAACAGTGTTAGCGACGCGAAGTATTTTACTCGTTTTCTAAACAAAATCACCAAGTTATGCTGTGTAATATGCCGCAATCAGCAAGGTTCAGGTTCAGGTTCAATTTCCTTTCTAGAAAGTTTCAGCCACCATTTTACGAAACTTGCAGAGAAATCTCAATTCCAATTTTCGAAGCGAACAGGCTAGCAGGACGTTCTATTCTTATACATGTACTTGGATTTTATGACAGTGTAAAGACGTGGTGGCTAGTGTTGGCAATGTCTGTTTTCCAGAGTTTGTAAAAGCTCACAAAGATTTAAAAGTTAGCATCATATGAGACGAATATTTAGCTTCTCTTCCTTTCATTTAGTGCTTAGAAAGTGTACCAAAATCAAGCACTTCTGCTATTTCATGAAATCAGGGTCTAATCAGTCAATCAAAAGTATTTTTTTCGTAACTTACATTATGTTAAGTAAAATTAAGTTATATTTGATAATCCATGAAAGATGAATCACAATAACATTACATTGGCGACTTTATTTGCAATTGTGTATTACAAAATCTCTGGACTAGCATTTGATGGTGATGTCTGGATGTTTTTTTATCAACATCCAAAGTCATTTTGTTGGCTTTCCAATCAATATTGAACCAATCATAACTAGCGTTTAAAATTTAATTAAAAACAAAAGTATCAGTATAACAAATTTTCAAGTTTCAATGTTTACTTGAAGCGAATTTGTGATTTTTTGAAAAAGTAAATTAAACACAATTTTTCTAAAGCAGTTCAGTGTCATGAAAAAAAGTGTGACAGAGAGAGACCTGCTGATAAAAGAAATTAATGAGGTATATCACACTTAAGGGGAAGTGATCAATGGACACAAGCAGTCCAAATAGAACAATGTCTTCCAACTGTGGGCTCAGGAAGTGAGCTCTCCAAGGACGTCATCGTCCTGTTGGTGTCTTGTCTTGTGCTGAGATGTGTTACTGGCACAGGTGTATGTTTTACCCTAGTTTTTCAATCAATAACATCCAGTGTTCTCCCCAGAAAATTCTCTCAGGGTAGTGGCTAATTTGCATAATAATTAGCATATAATTAGCATATTAATTTGCATATTTGTTACATTCCTAGAAATAATATAAGCAACACAACATAGGTTTAACTTTGAAAAAAAAAAACAGTCTTTATTTATATACAATGCAATCCTAAGACTTATTTACAGTTAAATCACATGATTTTAGTTGATTGTAATTCTCCGAACTTTGATGGCGGCCCACTCATCTGCTGCTTTGGAAAAGTTGAAATCACTAATAGAAGGACCTTCACATTTAATGAACATCAGAGCATTGAGGATTTTCTCAGAGAGTCGATTCCTAGCATCAGTTTTAATCCTCTTCATGGTTGAAAATCCCCGTTCACAGTCTGCAAAAAATATATTATCAAAAACATAAGTATAAAAGAAAGATATTTTGATCAACAACAAAATATATTATTTCCTTCAAAGTGTACACTACTTGCAAATTAAACTCACCAGCTGTGGAGCATGGCAAGACCAGAGTGACAGCAGCCAATTTTGCTAGATTTGGATACAACACTCTCAGCTTTCCAACAGTGACCTTCAAAACTTCTTCAAAAGACAATTCCCTGTATTGGTTGTCCAGTTGAATTTTAAATAAATTCCATTCTGATAAAAGAACTTCAGTGTCCATACTGTAATGCTCAGCAAGCATCTAATTAAATAAGAAGACAAAATTACACTGAATATATTACATACAGTGCACTGGGTGGTTTGTGCACTTATTGCTGTTTATCACTCCATGATAAACATATAAATTACAGTCGAGTCTCAGTCATGACAGAAAAATGTTTTA